CACCAAGATTAGAATTTACTCTTTAATGCTCAGTAGTGGATTAGGATTAGATTTAAATAATTGTTGCTATTCGCCAGATATGGCAAGAAACATCATTTCATTTCATGGTTTGTATAGAAAAGGATTTCGATATTCATTTGATAATGAAAAGGGTTCTATTAATGTTTATCTTAATGGTGTTTTCTATTTTGAAGCATTGCCTTGTAATGGAATATATGAAACTGTGATGGTTGTAGACAATTTAGGAAATGATGTGTTGTGTATTGATTCTTCCAATGATTTGGATAAAGCATGCTTGTGGCATTGTCGTCTTGGACATGTCAACAAGAAACGCATAGCCCAACTCCAAAAGGATGGAGTGTTGGAGTCATTCGACCTTAGGGACGATGACGTGTGTGAGTCTTGTTTACTTGGAAAGATAACCAAGTCACCCTTCACTGGTACTTGTGCGAGGGATGAGGGTTTATTGGATCTCATACATACAGATGTATGTGGACCTTTTAGATCCACCACAAGGGATGCGTGCCGCTTCTACGTGACTTTTACCGATGATTATAGCAGATATGGCTATATCTACTTAATCAGGCATAAGTCATAAACCTTTGAAAAGTTCAAAGAGTTCAAGCAAGAAGTGGAGAACTAGTTGGGCAGGAAAATCAAGATGGTTCGATCAGATCGAGGTGGAGAGTACCTAAGTCTTGAATTCCACGACTACCTCAAGGAATGCGGAATTGTTTCACAATTAACGCCACCTAGGACACCACAGTTGAATGGTGTGGCTGAGAGGAGTAATCGAACCTTGCTAGACGTGGTTCGTTCCATGATGAGTCATGCTTCGCTATCTATCTCATTCTGGGGGTATGCCTTAGAGACTGACGACCATATCCTTAACTTAGTCCCTACGAAGAAGGTTGCCAAAACACGTCACGAGATGTGGATGGGGAAAGCTCCCTCATTGGCACACATCAAGGTTTGGGGTTGCGAGGCTTTCGTAAGACGAGAGACTCACGATAAGCTCGAACCTCGTAGTGAGCGGTGTATTTTTATCGGCTACCCGCAGAAGTTCTTTGGATATCTCTTCTATAGATCGAGTGACGATGTTGTCTTCGTTGTGAGGAGAGGGGTTTTCCGAGAGAGAGAACTCATAAGCCAAGGGGACAGTGGGAGGCAAATCGATCTTGAAGAGCTTCAAGAGTCGAGCGATGAAGGATCCTCTAACAATGGCGCTCAACCCGAGGAGGAAACTCCGGTTGAACCGATTGACAAGTCCTTACCTCTTAGACGTTCTAGTAGAGTTAGTGTTCCGCCCGTGTTGTATGGTTTTCATATAACGAGTGAGGGTGATACGTTTATTAGTGATAGTACACTAGTAAATTTGGACGAACCTAACAGCTATAAGGAAGCCATGGCAGGCCCGGAGTCTGTGAAATGGAAATAGGCTATAGACAGTGAGATTCAGTCCATGTACGACAACCAAGTTTTGAATTTGGTTTAAAATGTGACAGGTCGTAAGACGGTCGGGTGCAAGTGGATCTTCAAGAAGAAGACCGACATGGATGGGAATGTACACACCTATAAGGCGCGATTGGTTGCGAATGGTTTCACTCAAACTCCCGGAGTTGACTAGACCTTTTCACCAGTTGAGAAGATAAAGTCTATCAGGGTGATGCTGGCCATTGCTGCATTTCATGACTATGAAATATGGCAGATGGATGTCAAAACCGCCTTCCTTAACGGGAAGTTGGCTGAGGATGTTTACATGGCTCAGCCAGAGGATTTTGTCAATGCGAAACATCCCAATAGAGTGTGTAAGCTTGAGAAGTCCATCTATGGACTAAAACAAGCATCTCGCAGATGGAATCTTTGTTTCGATGAGAAAGTCAAAGAGTTTGGTTTTCTGCGAAGCGAGGATGAATCATGTGTATATGTCAAAGCCAGTGGGAGTATAATTAGCTTCCTCGTATTGTATGTCGATGACATACTACTCATACGAAACGACATCCCAACCCTGAAGGAAGTTAAATCCTGGCTTGGGAAGTGCTTCGCTATGAAGGACCTCGGAGAGGCTGCCTATATTCTGGGAATAAGGATAGTGAGAAACAGAAGTAAGAGACTAATAGGACTTAGTTAGAATACTTACTTGGACAAGGTACTAAAACGTTTTAGTATGGAGAATTCAAAAAATGGGGAGTAACCAATCCAAAGTAATGCCAAGTTGAGTAAGACTCAAAGCCCGAGTACCGAAGTCGAGATAGCATAAATGAGCCGAGTACCATACGCTTCCGCAGTTGGCTCGATTATGTATGCTATGACTTGTACTCGCCCTGATGTGGCCTTCGCTTTGAGCATGGTCAGCAGATATCAAGGGAACCCTGGCAAAGCACATTGGACCGCAGTCAAGAATAATCTTAAGTACCTTCAGAGGACCAAGGAATGATTTTTAGTCGTCGGTGGGAGTGACGACTTAAGGGTGCGAGGGTATAGTGATGCCAGTTTTCAAACCGATAGGGACAACTACCGTTCGCAGTCGGGCTGGGTCTTTACCCTAAATGGAGGAGTAGTGACTTGGAAAGTTCCAAGTAGGAGACCGTAGCTGATTCAACGTGCGAATCAGAGTATATAGCAGCGAGCGAAGCGTCAAAGGAGGCGATATGGTTGAAGAACTTCATTGGAGACCTTAGATTTGTGCCAACCATAAAGGAGCCCATGGAAATTTTCTGTGATAATGAAGGAGCGCTTGCCTTAACCAAGGAACCGAGGGATCATGGCAGATCTCGACATATCGACAGAAAATATCACTTTATTCGACATCGGATGGAAGAAGGACTCCTCATAGTGAAGAGGGTATCATCGGAAGATAACCCAGCAGATCCCCTTACGAAGGGACTGAGTATGGTTAAGCATGCTAGGAGCATCGGGCTGAAGGACGATATTAGTTTAGATTAGATAGTTTAGAGACGTGTAATAGATAAATGTAATTGACATTTGATGAATAAATAAAAGAGTATTATTTATAAGTAAAGTACTGTCTTGTGTTAATTATTTACCTATTGTTTCATTTTGCATGTTTTGACTTCCTAAATAATAAGATTATTCAAATGTTCCATAGTCGCTCATACTTTGGGAGTAGGTATGAAAGAAGATTGTCATGAATTGGTGTGTAGATTGTCTGAAATGTATTAGACATAGCAAAGGTTTGCTACAACATTCATGAGTGCTTATGAGATCGATTTGAGCATTGGATTAGACCCGCGCTTTCTGGAATCACTTCATGGAATTTATCACGAGTGATCACAAGACGATAATATCATATGGTCTTAAAACCTAGATATATTGTTTATTGTTTGCAAGTTGGTTGTGCATTGATAATGCGTAAACGCATCAGTAACTTGATGTTATAAAACGTATTGTTGTGTATGATTTGATTAGTGAATAGTAAATACATATAAGTCGAAGTTTATCTGTTCCTTTTATCCTAAGAGGGTAAAAGCGATATCAGGGCCCCTCGATGATTTTGTTTGACTTATGTGTCAGGCCCGGTCAGGACTGAATTGATGTGTTCAATTAAGTTCTATGTCAAAAGAATCAGAGATCGAGAAAGAACTGCTGGACAATAAGTATGACTATGTTCCATGTATTTGTCCGCACAATATCTAGAACGGATGACTATACGATCCCTTATCTAGAGGACAGGTTACTGATAAGATCAGAGTTCGACAACGTCTTTGAGAGCTACGATTGCTAATCGGATTGTGCTTGCATTTATAGTTACTAGACTTGTCCAAGTGGGAGACTGTTGGATTAGTGTCTAAGCCCGTAACTATATTTGGTAAGTACTTGACCCGGTTGTGCATGGTCCTTTTGGGTTGCCTTCACCTAATGCAACTTGACAGGGTGATTTATGAATGGAGAGGTTAATATGGTTTATTAATATATTATATGAAAAATATATTAAAAGAGAAATCAAATAATTAAATTAATATTAGACAAGAATTAATTAAGAAATTAATTATGTGGCTAAAAGGCATTAATTTAATATCAGGGACTTAAACTGTCAAATGTGTGATAGTGGAGTATTGGGCTGAGAAGCCTCTTGGACTAGGCATGGACGCAATTAGGATGTGTCCATCCATAATTTCGGCCATAAGGCCCTATTCCAGAAGTTTCCTTGGATAGCTTAAGGCCTAAGCTGTCCATTAGGGTTTAGGCTGAAACCCTAGCAGCACCAGTATAAATAAGACCCTAAGGCTTCCAATTTTCGGCCACTTGATACCCTAGAAAGATCATAGCCGAAATTGTGCCTCTTCCCTCTCTTCAATATCATCCTCTTGCTTCCTTGGTGTTTGTAAGCCATTAGAGGAGTGACACTTGTGACTCTAAGCTCCAAGACAAGAAGATTCAAGCTATTGTTCAAGAGGTAATTATCTAGATCTGTTTTCTTATGTCAATTTCGAATCATGTAGGCTAGATCTAGGGTTAGAAAGTCTTGGATGAATTGCATGTACAATAGAGAAGCCTAGATCTAAGCTTTAGGGTTTGCATGAGCACATAGGATGTTCTTTTGGCTAAAACCCATCAGCTTGGACTTCAGATTAGGACTCCAGTTTGGGATGGTGGACTAATTATTAGTTGGACATTATTTGATGGTTTTAGCACGGGGATTTTCCAGATCAGCGGATTGGGATTTTATTTGAGAGATTCAACAACTTGAGATGAGTTTCCTCATTGTGTTTGGTGGGTCGAAGGCACCAATGTCGGGCCATGACTTGATATTATTAGGATGCTAGTTGTCTACGTGACCCTTGCATGTTTGTTATCTGATATGTATACCAGGCGAGACCTGATGACTATATTGTATGCTATTTATCTTTGTGATTCTTGCATGTGTTTATGTGTTTGTATGTATATCGGGCGGGACCCGATGCCAGGCGGGGCCTGATGACTGACAGATCTATTCCGAGTGGGGCTAGATGGCGGGCGAGGCGCATTATATATTTGATATGTATGGTATGTGGTATTTTGGGGAACTCACTAAGCTTCGTGCTTATAGTTTTCATTTTATGTTTCAGGTACTTCTGGTTTGAAGGGGAAGAGCTCAGGATGACTGCATTGCACACTAGGGATGTCAAAAACCTCCGTGGGACCCCGATACTGTACGGGACTAAATTTTTAAAAAAAATCTGCGAGCGAGGGCGGGGGCAGGATTAAACTCAGTTTATATTCAGGATCGGGGTCGGGAGTCGGTATTTTCGTCCCGTACTCCCGCAGGGGGCCCGTTTGTACATTTATGTAAAAATTATATATTTGATATAAAATACATATATAAAATAGATTTTTTAATTTTAGGTTTAGGTTTCACACTTTCACTTTCCCGTTTCCTTCTTCCGCCCAAAACGAGTACGACGACTTCACAGTTCACACTCCCACCTAAAAGGCCAACTGGCCAAGACGCGACGATCCCAATCGGCCAATCCCGTCACAGCATCGTTGACGAGACGACGAAAAAGTCACCATTACGACTTGGACTTTCTATATTGCCTGTCGACGTTGCGTCATTGTCGAAATCGGACATATCCTTACACCCCATCGACGAAATCAGAGTGCTCACTTACGCTAGTCGACTTCCACCGGTCAATTTCTGATGCCGAGTGTCGACGCCCTTCTGTCGGTCTTAATCGAATGATGTCATCTTCAACGTCCAACGAACGCAGCGACTTCGTCTCTCTAGTCTCCACAATTCGAACACGATTACACGAATAGGTTAGCCTGATTTCTGATTTCTCCTTTTCCAGTCTTCATCTGTGATGTTTTCATTTACTAATTTCTGTCAAATAGTCAATGATTTCTGTTGATTTCTATCGATTTCAACTGAGTTTGATTTATTGTTTATGTTTTGGGTTTGATTCTTTTACTGTTCTGTGCTTTAAGTGTGAACAAGTTCTGGTATCTGATTTATTGTTCATGTATTGGGTTTGATTCTTTCGCAGTATTTGCATAGAATATTGTTTACATTTTTACTAATAATTTGGTTATTTGCATAGAATATTGGTACTTATAGGCTTAAATTATATTGTGCAGCCAAATAAAAGCATTTTCGAAGAGATGGACTAAAATTGACAAAATATGGAACTTTGGAGGCTTGAGGGAAAGAAGAAATAAAACTCAAAAAATCTCGTACTAACGACGTGAGTAATTGAAGGCTCACGACGTGAGTAGAGTGTTCTAGAAGATATGCATCGGATGAAGAAGAGTCCTTGTCGAATACGTTAATCTCGCATTCACGTCGTGAGGCTTATCTGCTCACGACGTGAGATTGGAAAAATCAAAAAGTATATAAACTCTTGTCCATTACAACTTGGGAGAATTTTGGCTACCTTGGAGGGTTCCTGGACACGAATTGGAGAAGAAGAAAAGTTCTGGAATTGGTTTTCAACACCAAGGAAGAAGAAGTTCAATATTTGATTCATATTTTGGTACATTTAAACATGTTTTTGATTAGGGATTTTGTTTGCTTAGTTGCTAGTATGTCCAGCTAAATCTAGTTGCTTCTGTTAGCTAGATGAAGCTGGAACTCATGGTGTATTTAGTTTAGCTTTGATTTGCTAGTTGGTTAAGACTTGTGTTGGATTGATTTTACCTAGTATGTTTGTTTGATAATTGATTGCTTTAAATTCTTATTCTGTGTAGTTAGTGAATATGAAGTTACATGAATTTGAATACCTAATAATTCAGTGAACACTAGTTTATTAGAGCTAAGATCAAACCAATCTTAGATAAGCAATTATTAAAATTAAGCTGTGCTAGAGAACTCATGATTATGACCATAATGTGTGTTTATCAAATCAATCTTACATAGCTCCAATTTCATTTAATAATCGATTTTGTGTTAGCTATTGTGTGACCATACATAGATTTACATGAATTGATTAATGTTAGTAGATTTAGAACTAAATTGCTAATACTGTCTTAATTCGTAACCAACAGTAATTGTGATAGCTAATTATTACCCATTGAGTGAAAGTGGATTCGAACTAACAGAAGTGTTTGTTTATTGATTGATTTTGTGTTAAAAGAATTAAGTTCATCTAATCGTGAAAAATTAGATAAAACCCTTTCCTTTGTTGATAATTAAGTTAGTTTAATAGTAAGTAGATTAATTAGTCAATACTGTTCCCTATGATCGACACCCGACTTACCCAAAGCTATACTATAGTCTGACTAGGTACACTGCGTAGGTGCAAGTAGTTAGTTAAGGTAGTTAGGTTATAAATTTAAAATTAGGTGTAACCATTTGCACACATCAAGTTTTTGGCGCCATTTCCTGGGAATGGATACCAAATAAATTATGCCAACCCTTGCACGTGAATGAAAATCCATTCCCCAAAAATATCTTTGTAAGAAACGGAGACAACCGATAAAAGATTCCGACCTCCCTCAATCTTGCCCAATGAATTGTAGGGGCAAGAGCAATTTCCCTATTGTACAACCACCCTAGCTTGTTGTTGCAACGTGTCAAAATATCTCGTGGCATGGTTGTTGGGAAAACGTAGAATGGGTGCAAACTTGCCACCCCTGTCGGAACTTCTCTTCTGGGAGCCATTGCTACAAAAAATAAACATAAAACAAAACAAACAAAAACATCCCCAAAAGATTAGTATTAAACAGAATCAGAAACTGAGAGTGTCTAGGATTCACGTCGTGAATCCCTAAGGAGTCACGTCGTGAGTTCGTAATCAAAAGTCAGAATCGGTCCATTCTGTGTGCGGATCGTGCGAATCTAATGTTTAGGGTTTTATGCTAGGACAATTTCAAACTCATTCCAGGTGCATGCAGCAAAATCTTCACACATTAAGGGTATTGATTTTGATTTTCAAATGAAATGCAAACCCTAACCCCTAAATCTAGCAAATAAATCATGTAAAGAATATTAATTTACCTAGATTGGAGGATTACGTAAGCACAAGAAGAATAAGAGAAGATGTCGGCCGCAATCGAAACAAAGGGGGGGGACCAAAATCCGTTTTCACTTCGTGGGAGAATAAAGTAATGGTTTAGGTCAAATGGTTTCTGTCTTTTACTGTGGTCCCATGCGATTCTAAATTCACGTCGTGAATCCCTAAGGAGTCACGTCGTGAGTTCATGTTGAGCTGAACACTTGGGCCATTCGATTAAAGATTAAGTGGGTTGGGTAATATAATGGCCTAACAAAAAGGTGTCCGTAAGTCACAATTATACTCACGTCGTGAACCATAATGATTCACGTCGTGAGTTCGTCTGGATCTTAAAACTTTAAATTTTAATTAATTAAATCACCTAATTTATTACCACTTAAGTTTTAGGGACCTCACACTAAAAATAAAAGAAAAGAAAATTCAAACCAAAGTCGGGTTGCCTCCCGAGTAGCGCTTCTTTTTGATGGAGTCGTGAGTCGGACTCCGTGCCTCCTACGTTGAGCTGTCAGAGGAATCCATCACCACCTGAATCTTTTGCTCTTTCCATCGCCTCTTGTACGCTTGAACTCGTCTAATGTACGCCTTCTTTGAATTCTCCTTTTTAGCTTTTACTTCATCTACATCGAGCTTGCGTTTTATCCCTTTAGTCTCTAATTTTTCTTCACTTTTATTAAGCTCCATAGGAATCTTTTCCTCCTTTACCATTGGACTTGTCTCCTTGGAAGTAGCCTCGTCTTCATCACTCGACAATTCATCGCTTTCCTCACTCATCAAAGTTGTTGGTTTTGTGTAGGTAATGACTTCAACGAAGAACAGGACGGATGCTCTCGGTTTGGTGCGTTTTACTTGATGAATTGTCTTGATTTCTTCCTCCATTAGCTTTTCCAATTCTTCAAGATCATTATCTTCTTCCATATTGAACACATCACCTTTTACATCTTCTCCTTGAAAACCTTCTTGTATTCCAAATGTCTCCTCATCATCACCAACCCTCAATGTAAGCTTCGATTCACGAACATCAACTAAAGCTCTAGCAATATTAAGTAGAGGGCGACCAAGAATAATTGGGACATTCACATCCTCCTTCATATCTATAATCACAAAGTCAACTGGGAAAACAAATTTCCCAATTTTAACAAGGATGTCTTCTACAATTCCCATCGGGTGAGTCACCAAACGATTGGCCATGTGGATGGTCATCTTTGTACCCTTCATTTTCTGAATATTCAGCTTTTGATAAAATGAATGTGACATCAAATTTATGCTAGCCCAGGAATCAGCTAAAGCATAAGTCTTCAAATTGTTACCAAACTCACATGGAAGAGTGAGGCGTCCGGGATCTCCCATCTTCTTAGGTATCTCTCCTAATACAGCTCTTGAACTTTGTTCACTAAGAATAACCTTAGATGTAACAACGTAAATTTCCAAAACAATTTTTCATTTTTAAAACATACTTTTATTCATAAGGTAATATCAAAATATAATGTATCCGATGTTATCATAACAAAACATATCCCAGAATCTCAAGACATAACTCCATGAGTGTGTACGGATCATGTCGGCGCCTTCCCGCGATCCTTGCTAGTGCCTGAAACACATAACACAACAACTGTAAGCATAAATGCTTAGTGAGTTCCCCAAAATACCACATACGCACATACGCCGCTCAAGGATATAAGACCTTCCGGTCACTGTGTCTCAGAGGACTTCCGTCCCACAACCCTGGTAGACCTTCCGGCCCTACCCGTAATGACCTTCCGGTTCATATCATCCTGACCTTCCGGTCCACATCATGATGACCTTCCGGACCTTATCATTCATAGCATACATAACACATACATATCATATAACAACATGCAGCACATACATCTCATAGCATATAAGACCTTTCGGTCACACATAGGTACCACTCTAGGTACAGTATAGTGAGAAGACTCACCTCGTACAAAGTCGGATAAACTCTCGTGCTTGACGTCCCGACCTAGCCTCCTCCTATCATACGAATAACATTCCTGATCAATAACCTCTCATAGCCTCATCTCTAAAGATTGGGTAGAAGGCCATCCTACCCCTCCCTGAACTCTCCTGAATCAGCTTGACCAAAACCCTAAGGTCACTGAAGTCAACGGTCAAACTTTGACCCGACTCGTCGAGTGCACATGGGCGACTCGGCGAGTCCATGCGGGTCCTCAGAATCCTTCTAGCCTCACTTGACACGTCAAGTCATCCCTCCACTCGACGGGTTACACCTGTCACGAATCGCGCGGTAACCCCGAATCGACTCGTCGAGTCCACTTATGAACTCGGCGAGTAGCGTCCATGGCAACACTCAAATGACCTTCTGAGTTCAGATCCGCTTCTCTAACCTATAGATCTGCCCTCCCCATACACAATAATCACGTAAAGGTCTGACCTTTACACTCATGCAACACACATAGGGCTCTCTTTGGTGAAATCATCTCTAAAAAGGCAACCTAAGATCATTTCTTCCATGGAACAACATAAAGCAGGTTGGATAAGGCTCTTTGGACCTCTAAAGGTCCAGATCCATAGTCTAACACTCAAAGGGACAATATACTCATCATTTCAAGCCACTAAAAGGGTATAGAAAACCCTAAATTCAAGGATCTCATACTAAACAGAAGAAGGGATCGATTTACTACCTCAAAGTTGCAGATCCAAGCTGGAAACCCACATAATAGCAATCCCCTTGACCTCCTCTTGCTGGAAACACCTTCTTCTTTGCAAAATCACACTAATAAGGATCAAAAAGGCTCTCTCTCTTATACCACTCGTTCAAGCTCTCTAGGGTTTCTCTCTCTGGACTGGTAGCCGCAATTGAGGGCTATAAGGACCCTTAAATAGGGCACAGGACCAAAGATTTAGGGTTTCTGTCCACAGCGCGGACTCGTCGAGTCCACCCATCGACTCGTCGAGTCCCTTCACTAATCCAGTCAGCAAATCGCGATCCTAATCGACGAGTCTAGGCGTCAACTCGTCGAGTCCCTCTTCATAACTCAAAATAAATGAATAACATAGGATACCTGGGAATCCGGATGTTACATTAGAATTCTTCTTTAATTGTTGACGAGTATCTATAAGATCTTGTAGGAACTTCGCGTATTCTGGAATTTTTTAAAGTGAATCGATAAAAGGGATATTAATAGGAATACCCTTTATTTGCTGAATAAATTCCAGATGTTCCCTTTCCAGTGGAATGAGATGTGCTTGATACGGGAACGAAAAAGGCGGTCAGTAAGCCGGAACGGACCCTCTCCGATGTTGCCACTGGACCTGAACTAGGGGCACCTCCTTGTTCCTCAGAACCTTGATCTTCCGATCCAGGATCGCGATCGGTCTCTCAACATAATTCAGTCTCGCATCCACCTGAATATCCTCCAGCGGCACCACCGCCGACTCGTCGGCTATACACTTCCTCAACTGAGACACGTGGAAGGTATCATGAATCTGGCTCAACTCTGCAGGTAGCTCCAAACGATACGCTACCCTGCCCACCCTTGCGGTCACCCTGAACGGACCAATGTACCGGGGCCCCAACTTGCCCCTCTTCCTGAATCGGA